GTTCTCCTTTAATTTTTTGTTTTTTTTTTTGTTTTTGTTTTTAACCAAGTCTGAACCTCTATAATTGCTGATTATGAATGCCTATAGATGTGAGAAAAAGAAAAATTTTGCGCATAGCATCTCTATGTTAAAGAGTCTCGCTACAGCTAAATATCCTGCCATCAGTAAGTACGATTGAGAACTCAGTCCCCCAACAAGTTGTACATATTTTCAGATCAAGGAACATGCTATTTTGTATGGAATCCAATTTGCACAAATATTTTCATGAGTTTCACAAATTTGGAAACATAGACAGCAATTTGCATTTCTCCCTAATTAAAATGCTTAAATGTTTCCTATACCTAGCAAAGTGCGAAGCCAAGTAGGAGCTACAGTACTTACTAGGCTAAAATTTGAAATGCCAAATTGCTAGCTAGGTTCAAATGGAAGCTGACGACGGTTGCTTTTGTGTATAAAATTCTAAAACTTTGGCTTGTCCATTGCGCGTTTAAATGGGGAAAAAAGGCACTAATGTGGTCATGGGCAAAGGATTAACCAATAGATTGTCTTATATGACTAAAGAAACCATTTGGGATATATGTGGATTTTTGCTTGTTTTGAAACCGTTTAATTTGAAATGGGGTTTAGAAAACAAAAGAAGCAGCTTCTACTATTCAGAAGTCAAATATTTTTATATTTTTGTTGTGCAGCCAGGCCAAACACCCCAAATTTTGAGAAATCAATTTCCCTCGAGAGTAGCTTTGCCCAACAGCTCATAATCACAAACAGGCGATTTCTTGCCATTGTATATCATATGACATTCTCCTCCCTAAAATATGAATACAATAACAGGAACCAAAGTAGTATCTGTTGTATTCCAATGACCCAAAAAAGGGTTAAATTTGGACAGCTAACTCAAAGAAATAAACGCCAGACATATCCTCACATATCAATATCGGCATCATGCAGAAACCACCTAACAAAATCCTCACTCTATTACCGCCAAAACATTTTAGAAAAAATTGAGAGAGAGAGAGACAGAGAATGATCTATCTAATAATTAAAAGCATCAACAACAATATTAAAAAATAAGCACATGATAACAAGGCAAAGCAAAATGGTTGATAGAGAAACTCTAACCAAACCGCGAGAGCATTGCATAAAGCAGGATACCACCCATAGAGTGTCCGATTGCAAGCAATTTTCCATCTCTTGGCTTACTTTCCTTCAATATGTACTCTATCTGCATTGGTAAAGGCAACAATCACATCAGGAATATTAAATCAGGAAAAGTTTTCCTTAAATATTTGATAAAGGAAAGGGTATGCAAATGGGATGCTTGATATACAATAAAAATATTATCATAATGAGCAGTCAAAATATATAGCTCTTTAGCACCATAAGATGTCACCTCACCGCAGCAGGAACATCTTCTTCCAGATAATGATCAAAGTCCCAATCATACTTCACAATCATGTCAAGCTGCTTCTGAAAATCTTCTAATGTTGAAGTAAAGCGCTCTTGTAGATTTAAAAATTGAGGAGAAAGAGATCGTTGACCTTCTTCAATAATGTTTACTAACTTTTCACTCAAATCAGATATTTGGCTAGTAACACCAGAGTTTTGCCTTGCTTCCAACAAAGTTGAAAGCTTCTCCCTAATCTCATTGAATCGTTCAAAAAATGGAGAATCTACCAGGAGTTTTGAAATTTGATCAAGTAATTTTGCAGACATGACCTTGGATTGACTTTCACTGAGAAAGCCAGAAACTCTTTCTGACAATTGCATAAATGTTTCTGTCAACCTTGTTACCAGTTCTGATTCATCCCAGACAGTAGCTAACCCAGTTAGATCTCCATCAACAGCCAATTTCTCAGCTTCGTTTCTTTGAGCAGCAGATATGTCAGATTCAGGCAATGCACGGGAAATATTGTTTAATTTCTGGTCTGAAGGCATGGCCCCGTTGGTCGAACTTTCTGAGGTAGTTTCCATGTTCTCAGACTTTTCAAGGGCTCTCTGCTCAATATCTTTGGAATTAGACCCCTGTACGCTCAACCCAGCACCTCTCAGTTCAAGAATCCATGTTTCAAATCCCTGACTAGACATGTAACGGGCGAATGATGACTGCAGAGGTATTCCTTGTTAGCAGGAAATCCAAGATAGACAACCAAGAAAACGATAATGAAAAATAGATGTGATAGTAAAGCCTTTTGATTCCTACTAATTAGCTCACGGACGTCAAAAGTACGGCTAATAATGAGATGAAGACGCAAAGGAATATCATTATGTGTGCATTGGATAATATTCATCACTATCACATAGGCTCCAAAGTTTGATACGTTGCTTATTATGACAGGCATATGTGCAAACGTATTACTCAAGTAATTCCGAAGGAGAGTGATATAGAAGCAGTCCTATTCACAATCATGAAACAAGAGAAATTTTACGATTGATGTGACTAAAACAAATAGAAGAAATAAAATTATTACCTCAGTAGTGCAAAGATCATATCCAATTGCATTGGTCCCCACTCCCGACAATAGCAACAGCGGGTGATTCCTAGGAGGCGCCTATGATACATTTAAACACATCCCGCACAAAATAACCACCACAGACTTTCTTAAGGGGGTAAAAAAGAAACCGAAGTAACTGGAATGAGGAAAAAGATCAAACTAAAAAGCACGAAACTTTACCGTCGGAGAAGGACGATAGCGCCAGAGAGCGAGCCTCCAATCGGAATTAGAGACGGAAACATAATGGAGCTCATCGGCGGTACAAATGGAAGGCTTCTCGGGCAACTTGACGATGGCCTCGCTGGAGTCAGTGGAGAAGGCGTTGAGAGGGAGGAAGGAGGTCGATGGCGGCGGAAACAGAAGACGGTGAGCGGTGGCGCGTGAGAGTGAACGAATTGAAGCGAAGGCGCGGAAGGAGGCAGAAACTTTGTGGAGACCGGAGGAGAACATGTCAAATTGGATAGTTGCCATTTTGGGGAAGTTCGTGTTATGTGTGGAATCGCTTCAGGCTTATTTCCCAGTTCCCATAAATCCTCCCTGGCGTTTCAGCGGTCTGGTCTCTTTCCTGAAAAAAAAAAATAGTAAAAAGATCAACAATAAAACGGCGTTACAAAGTAAGTTCCGAACGAAAGAGCCTTAGAGATACCAAAAATGGGCCAGGGGGCTGCCCGAAATTGCAAAATTATAGGATTCATGAAAATTTATGGGTAAGATTCATGGGGAAAAAAAAAAAAAGCATCGTGAAACCATCCCAAAATCTAACTATAAGAATCCAGCTCCTTCCGATTCAAATATCATGTAAACTGATATATCAAAAGACTGCAATGCATAAAAAGAGATGATACAGTGTTTTTCATTTCTGATCCAAGCAAGTTGTATAGTACTCCCTCCGTTCCTTATTATAAGAAACATTTCATACTTATGGCATGTTCTTATATATAAGAGACACTTAAAAGTTGTCTCTACTTTTTTTTGTTGATTTCTTATTTTACCCATATTTATTATCTCCAACTCACACTCTCTCTCCCTCCTACCTCTCTTTCTTTTAATAATTTAATTGTTCTCTCTCATGTTCTCTCTCCTTATTAATGAGGACAGTTTTGGAAAAAGAATTATACTTTTTACACATTGATTGTTCTTAACTAATTTTAACTGTTTTTTTGATCAACGTAAATCGGTTATTTGTCTCTTATAATAAGGAACGGAGGGAGTAATTCCTAAATAGAGAGGGAATCCACTTTTGAAATGGTCTTGTGAAAAATCTTACATAAGTAACATTTTCATGAAAAGTTTGAAATTTCATACTGGTACAAAACTCCTCTCACATATTTATCTAGTATTTTATAAATTATAATTAAAAAGATTATCATAAAAAATTTCAAACAATCCTTAAATTCCATTTGACATGAGTTCCTAACTTTCTGTTCTTAGATATTGAAACTAAATACTACCTCCTATCTTAAATATAAAAGATAGTTAACTAATTTGAGTATTTAAAGAAATACTTCTCTAGTCCTATTTATAAGACACTTCCAACATGTTTTATACAGATCAAGAAAAACCTTAAACCGCATTAACTTTTCATTAAAATATAATAACTTTTCAACTTTACCCTTATTTAATATATACTTCTTTAAAAAAAAATCTATCCACACTATAATAAATGAAGGACAATTTGGTACATTCATGATAAAAATTTAATGAAATGACTTATAAATTGATTAAAAAAATCTTCTCTCTCTGCCCTATAATAGGACCAAAAGAGTAAATTAAGTTAGTTGTTTATAATAAATAGGTATTCTCTTTTCTAAAATATCATTGTAATCAAGTATATTTGTTAGAACTACTATTATTAAAAGCACTACCTTGAAAAAAAATACATAAATATGAGAGACAAAGTTTATTATAGTATTATATTTAGAATAAAATAAAAGTCAAACGAAGTCTTATATTAAGGATCAGAGGTAGTAGTTACTCATTTGAAAAGATTAAAAAGATTAATTAAATTAATTATTTATTAAAAAAATGCATGTTTGTCTCATGAAATATCCTTTTACTTATCTACTACCTCTGGTCCTTAATATAAAAACTTGTTCATAAATATAAGATCTCAATCCACTTTTTCTGTTATATCTATTTATTTTTTTTCAAAATAGTCCTTATAATAATAATAGTTCTAACCAATATATTTGATTAGCAATAATAATTTATGAAATACGGTGCTTATTTATTACAAATGATTAATTTAACTAAGTTTTTTATGCTAGTCAAATTAGTTAACTAGCTCATATATTAATTACATGTTACAAACTGTTCTTGTGTTCTATAATGAAAATTCCTTAAGAAATAGAATTAATAATAATTCAAAAAATAAATTAGAAATTTTGAAGAGAAAAAATAAACTGGGTTCTAACATTTTTAGGTGAAAAGGATCCGATAACATGACCAGGGCTGTCGCTCGCATGTTCTTTGATTAGTTCGCCGATTCCACTCGTCTCTGGAGAGTGAAGACCTCATAAAGGCCGCGAGAGAGGTGCCATCGCGAATTCGCAGAAACAGAGAGTTGGACGGCCCAAAAAATATAAATTATTCTGTATGTCACAATGCACCAGGGATATTAATGCCTGTCTTGTTCAATTCATTCTTATTAATCTCATGCTTCTAACAACCAAGGTCAGATTTTGGTTTTCCTGTTTTTACTTCTCTCTATCTGTTTTTTATGTATTTGTTTATTCAATTCCTTCTTCGAAACTGTAATCTTTTAGCTAATTCATGCGGTGCCCCATGATTATAAAGCTCCCACCTGCGGCATGTGCTTGTCGAATCCATAAATGGTTATATCCCAGTGCTTACATTTCTTCAAGTTCCTGCGCTAGTCATATTGAAGATGAATCGGAAAGGATTGGAAATCCGAAGGACTCATCAGGATTCGAGCAAAATATTAACTTTCTGAGGAACAAACTTGTGCCGGAGAACTTAATCCGGATTTTGAACTGTACAAGTGATTTGAATTCAGCAGTGAAGATATTCAATTGGGCTGCTCTTCAGAAGAGTTTCCGCCACACCGCCAGTACATATTATCAAATGATTTTGAAACTGGGTATGACTGGGAATGTTCAGGAGATGGGGGCTATCTGTCAAAATATGGTGAAGGATAGATGCCCGGGCGCTGAAGAAGCTCTTGTGGCGTTAATTCGCACATTTGTTGGGCATTCTAGGCTTAACGAAGCGATGACAGTTTTTATGAACATGGATTTTGGTACTTATAAGCCCCCAGTACATGTGTTTAATGTTCTATTGGGGGCTCTTGCAAAAGAAAATGGAGATTTTCAAAATGCATTGTTTGTTTATAAAGAGATGGTCAAAGCTGGAATCTTACCCACAATCGAAACCTTGAATTGTTTGTTGGAGGTATTGTTTGCGACCAATCGAGTTGATTTGGCTTTGGATCAATTTAGAAGGATGCACAAAAAAGGATGCAGTCCGAATAGCAAGAGTTTTGAGATTCTTGTAAAGGGTCTTTTTGCAAAAGGTCGAGTGAATGAAGCTACTTCAGTGTTAGATCAAATGCTTGAACTCAGGTTTGTGCCCGATTTAAGTTTTTTTAGATGTTCCATACCTCTCTTTTGCCAGGAGAATAAACTACAGGAGGCAGTAAAGTTGTTTGAGATGATGAAAGTTTCTGATTTTACACCTGATTCTTTAATTTACGAGTTTCTTCTACAATGTTTGTGCAAGAATGTGCGGTTGGATTCTGCAGTATCCCTTACAAACGAGATGATAGAAAGTGGTGTACCACTAGCTCACAATGTTTTTGTTGATATGGTAAACTGCTTTTGTGAGTTAGGGAAATTCGATGAGGCTATACTGTTCTTGGATGATAAACAAGTTGTTGAAACTCCTCCTTACAATGCATTGCTTGAAGGTTGCTGCAATGCTGGTGAAATTAGGATAGCTAATGCTTTGCTGCAAACAATGTCTGCGAAAAATATAGCTGACTGTTATTCTTGGAATATTATCATCAGATGGCATTGTGAGAATGGAGAGACTAGGAAAGCATATGAACTTCTTGGAAGAATGATCACGTCCTCAGTTACACTTGACCATATCACTTATTCTGCTCTTGTAATTGGCAACTGTAGATTCAAAAAGTTTGAAAATGCAATGGAATTGTTTGGCCAAGTTTGTGCCAGATGCTGGCCTTTGGATTTTACATCTTATTCTGAACTAGTTGGAGGCCTATGTGACATTAACAAAAATGAAGAGGCCACTGAAGTCTTTAATTACATGGCTTTAAAGAGATGCTCTCTTGAACCCCTTTCCTTCTACAAGTTGATTAAGAGTGTTTGTAACATAGGAAAAATCAATGAGGCCATAAGGCTGTGGCAGCTAGCTTACTATAATGGCATTTCTTGCTTGATTAACGTCCACACTACCATGATGCATGAGTTACTTAAATTAGGGAAGGTAAAATGTCTCTTTGTAATCCTCTCACGACTGTTGATAGAGGGCTGCAACCTTGATGTGGAAGCATACTGCATCCTTATTCAAAGTATGAGTCAACAAAATCGAGCAAACCAATATGTTTTACTTTTTAACATGATGGTTAGTGAAGGTCTGTTTCCTGATCCGGATAGACTATATGATCAACTGGCATTTATTGCTAATCATTCTCGGTTAACTATGATTTCTGGTGCAATTGGTAAACTTATAGATGGTGAAATTCTGAATTCAGCAATGTATAGCTTACTGATAAATGGACTTTGGAAAGAGGGTAAAAAACATGAGGCTCATCGATTATTGGATTTGATGTTAGAAAAGGGTTGGGTTCCAGATGCTAGCACTCACAAATTGTTGATTGGATCTGATGTCAAAGAAGAAAGGAGTCACGAAATGTTGATGTTTAACAACTCCTTGCAAGATTCTGTTAGCAACATACTTGCAGAAAGTCTTGGAGATACCTGAAACATAATAATTGCATTAAAAGACTCTCGATGGCTGAGCATGCCAGTTCCATCAGCGGTGCTGCTCTGTGCAGTACTGCTTCTTTACCGGCTGACAATGCCCGTCAAGTGGTTTCTTCCGTATGTACTCTTGCAGCGACCATCAACCTTACTTTTTGTCTATTCTCTCAGAAAAGGCTGCTGCCCTGGTGTCAACTTGATCAAATTTATTAGCCATGATGAAATGGTAAGATGTCAAGTTGACGAATTTGATCCATATATAACTCCAATTACAACATAGATATCTCATTATTTACAAGGTAGATAACCATGCTTTGTCTGTGAACTTTTTTCTTAATCCTTTGTTTTGATGGAAAGAAACTGGCCTTAGAAAACTAAGACCATGGACATGATTTTTTAGCTAATGTGCTTTTGGCTTATAACAGATGAACCAAGAGGTTTTGATTCATCCTTTTGTTATTATACTCGCATGCATAATGTAAAAGTGTGACTTTTCGTATGTTCATCTGCAGGAACTAATCTCATTGATCCAAGGTGCAGATGGCCTACGTGCATTCCTTATATATCCGTGGCTTGATGAAGCTGTGAACTAACATTGAGAGGAGAATTAAATTTCATTGCTGTCATTCAGATGTACTGATTAAGGTTTTTGCCCCGAACCTTGTACTTCTAGACTTATATTAACTGAAGGGGATGGGAAGATAGACATATTTGCTGCCAAACTAACAAAAATATAGACTAGGATATTTGGACGCCAACTTGATGTTGTTGCTACTTACATGTCGCACATAGAAGTGAAAGGACTTGATGGTATCAACAGTCTTGATGTGACCCATCTAGGAATTGTCCTGTTCTTAACTTTTGGGATGAAGGCAGGTTGAGATTAGGGGGAAAAAATTCGAGGAGGAAGCTATTTCAATTGTGAAATTGTGGAGCACGGTAGTTGTAAATGCACCATCTTATCCCTTTAAAATGTCTTCTCTTTTATCATATAAAACTTATAAGACGAATTCAGTCATAGAAAGAACAGAACAATGGTTGCTAATAATCACATTTTAGTGTGGCAAACAATTTCATTTCTACATCTTTCATTAAAAGCGGCCATCGTATATACAACATCGATTGGTTTGTGTTTGATGGGTAATAACTTCGGGAACTACTTGGATTGTATGAATTTGTTTTTCCATAAAAAAATTTTCAGGGGGTATGAAGATTAAAATGTTTGTGTCCTTTTTTCCCCGACTATCTCGTGATGTTTGTGTACATTATTGTGCGGTTTTGAGTTTCCATGGTTAGGTTAATTATTAAAAATATTTCATGGTTATGCTGCTGTGCACGTGCTGCCCCTGTACCCCAGTGGCTATATTGTTTAAAACCATCTCCCTTATCATTTAGTCTTTATTTCATGGCATCTTTTTATTTCATGGTCCTCAAATGGATTGAATAACTTCATTAATGAAGCTTTGTTCTTATAATTTTTTTGCATAAACCACCAGTATCCAAAAGCCATATTGGATTCAGACTAACTCAGGTTGAGCCTGGTGGAAATGCAAGGGTTGCACAAGTTTTTAACACAACATCCAGGACTCAAATTCAAGATTATTGGTTAAACCAACGCAAAGTTCCTATTAGCTTAGAACTTGGTCCTTTTTCTTGAAAAGCTTATAATCTTTTGCCTATTCAATTCTGACTATGTTATGTTATTTAGTATTTAGTTTTTATTTGCATTTTGAAATTGTGCAGATGAGTGACTTCAAATCTACATCAGATGCAAGGTGTGAGGAGGCAGCCCAGGTTGAAGAGTATTTGCGTCTTCTATGGGAGCAGCCAGGGCAAGAAACAAGCTGTAAAGATGCTGCCATTAAGTTTAGCGGGGAATTGGTGATGCAGTGTTTAATGGTTTCCCATATTTTCGCCTCCCTTATTCTTTTCATTCCATATATTATCCCATATGTCACCCCCCTTCAAAATACCTTAATTCTGTTCGCTGTAAATATCATCCAATGCATCTGGGCTTGAGCTTTTCTCTTGGTTCAGTTTATGCCTTTCATATATTTCTTGATGTGCATGTTTTCTTCCTCCTTTCTGAGACGCTTGTCTTCTCTGGCTATTATGATTTCATCCATTGGCTTGATTTAACAACCGAAAGAGACGTCATCGATAAACCCTCTTATAAATAAGGTTTTATTTAGTTCTATTATGTCAAACTAATCTTCTTCTTTTTTTCTGACTTGTTTTATAAGAAAAATTACTCAATAGAATTGTTATAAGAACGTATAAATGAGAATGGAATCAAACAAGCCATTATTTGTGATTGTCTTAGACGTCTTTCAAAAGTAATGGGCATTGCATAAGTCCAGAATTTGTGCGTCAGGTGAAAAAGTGAGATTTATATCCGACAGCTAGAATTTTGCGTGTTCCTGCTACTTCGTATGGATTCCAGAATGTGAGCATGTGATCCCAAAAAAATAAAGACTATGAGCCTATTTAATTTCATCTTTTAGAGCAGCCTTTTGTTTTAAAAATAAGAAAATAAAAAAGGAACTGTTTGAAAAAAAAAATTTCTGTTACGCGTTCTGAGAAGAATAGAATTTATTCTGAAATTTTAAAAAAAAAAAGAACAGAACATTTTTTTACTTTTTATTATCTTTTATTCTACAAAATTATAAAAGTGATGGAGAACATAATGTTTCTATTAATGATGATTATGTTAATAAAGTAAACAAGTTTTCCACCCTTCACATTATCAAATATATATTTTTAAATTTTTTATTTTTAGTAATTATTTTAATAACTTCAGAATAAACAAGAGAACCATTGAACACTCTTTCAGAATCTTATGTCTTTTTTCATTTTTTCAAGAGATAAGGTGTAAGTTTATCTTCCATTGATTTTAAATTTTTACTCTATCCGATTTGGAACTCCGCCTATGTGCCATAGTTTTGTTCGCTAAATAAGTTCTAGTGTTTAAATTATATCATTGGACTTTTAATTACCAGAACATTATGTCATTAGATCAATCTCACCAAAAAAATTTTTGAAAAAATGACATAAATAATGGAACGTATTCCTTTATATTTGCATGTGTTTAAATGTGAAGTTGTATTTTATGAATACAAATAGGAAAAAGATACAAACACATGCAAATATGAAAAAGATAAAAATAGCATTTCTTTAAATTTTGTTTAAATGTGAAGCTGTATTTTATGGATACCATGAGTGCGTCCATAACGTAAAGAACGACAAAGCCAACAAAAGTTAATTTAATCGATAAGGAATTGACTATAAATTACAACGTTGTAAGTTTAAATTCTACTAACGATATGAGAATATTCTTTTCAATTTAGAAGCATACTCCAATTTTAATGAGCTCTTGAGGTCCGATTCAACTAGCATTTCCCATTGAAGAAGACTAAATAAATACTCTATATTGTAGGCAGACATGGACAAGAAAATAGGCATGGAATCAAATTTGTAGATTGGAGAGCGTCCCATCAACTTCATTCATTCTCTTTTATTTCCTCGGCCAAATCATTCAATGCTCATTTAATATTTAACTCATTGGGTGAGATTAATTTAAGAAAAATAGTTAATGTGATGGACAAATCCAAAAATAGATAAAGTATTGCATTAAGGACCAAATCAAAATCATCGACAAAATCTCTTTTTAAATAAGAAAAATAATTTTAAAAAAACTAATTGAAAATGCACATGAATGACATGAAGCTCTAAAAGGTATTGAAATTACAAAGTAAATATTGCATAATCAAGTGCACGGAATCTGCAAATACTTATTTAGGATAATAATTTCCAAAAGGAAGTGATTGAGGGAAAGGGACAAATTGACTGAGGACGATGACAGCAATTACAGTGTAGACTGTGGCAAATAAAAACACAAATTGCTGATTCATGAGCAGCTCAGTGTTCCCTCCTTAAATCTGACCTAAAGACGTTAATTTATGAGAAATTAACCACTAAACTGATAATTTGATGCACCGAATCTAAAGTACTGTGCCTGTGATTTGCCCCTCACATGAACCTCTGCTTTAGCATCATTGGAGCCTTCACCCCATATGACTCTTCAATAAGTTATTCCAACATCTCATCATGAAATGCCACTCTACGTTATCAATATAGGAAGAATCAGACCACAGTACGTTGGGAGTCCAGTATTTAACTTTTCCTTTGTACTTAGAAGATATTTATTTCATATTACTGTGTGTGTTTCAGCAATGGTAAATTCTGCGCTGTAGAAGCCGACGTAAGGGTTCACAAAATTACGGAGTAACATGGTAGAAGAATAGGCTGGCATGAATGAATAATGATCAAACGAATTTCAAAATGCAGCCAAGTCAAAGATGAATCCGAAGACTCACCAAACTTTTAATAATGTTTTGTCAGGTAAGGTGTAGCAAAACCACATCGTCCGTTCCATGCCCACAATTTCTCAGAAAATGGTCAAATAAAACGACGAAAAACGTTTTATTTCCCAGTGGTCCTTCCTGGTCAAAACAAAACGTTGGACGGGACCAGCGGGAAAAAAATTACATTACGGCGCCCGAAATAGTGTCAGTAATTTCACAAAAAGCATGAACTAGAGATCCAACCCATCAGAGAATGCCCTACAATTTTGTCAATCATTCAAGAATTGATAGTATGCACTTCGAAGCACAAAGGATTCTTGAACTTTTACAGTATAACCTCTTGGAACACTTTTAATTTCCAGTAAATTATGAAATAAGAAATATTACAAGTTGGAAACGAGTTTCTTCTTATTATCTAATCACAATAACAGACCGCAAATAGGCACCATAGCAAGACATCAAGAAGTATAAAAATTAAAGGGAGAAACCAACCCCATTTCTTCAAAATTGTTTCTTCTGTTAAGAACCTGATTTATATTATATCGGCTGTGAGGTTCTTATCTGCTGCTTTATGCTGTCAGAAGGAAGCTGAGAAGAAACTTCTGGCAGCACAACAGCAGGAGCTGCCATGGTTTGGTACTGTGAAGGCATGGTGGGAGCCAAAGGTTGGGTGTAGTATAACTGAGCATGGGCAGGATTGGCATAGTCATAAGCATAATTTGCTGGGACAGCAGAATTGGGGGCAGCAGTCTGAGAGGGATGATGAATCTGAGAGTAAGCAACAAATTGTTGCTGATGCTGAGGCTGAGTAGAAGGGACTTGAACTAATTGAGGGATGCCTGCACTTGTTCTGTATGCGCCCGCAGCCATTTCAGCCTTCTGAATCGGAACATTTCTTACAGGATTGTAAGCTAAAGATGATGGAGCCATCGTCGGATTTGGCTGAGCTTGGGGTCGACTAGAAGGGATGGCTGTGTTGGCTTCACCAATATTAGCCTGCTGCTGCTGCTGCTGCATCGGTAAGTTGTAAGGTTGGGCCTGTCTTGCAGGCATGTAGTAAACTGGGTATTGCTGATCAAGCTGAGGGTGATGCTGAGGATGAGATTGTTGCTGGGAAGGATATACAGGATAGTATGCCGGGATTGGCACAGCGCCAGCAGGAGCATGGTGAACGAAATGGGAATCGGCCATATATTGCTGCTTCTGCTGCTGTTGAGGTTGTTGCTGCGGATCAAATTGTGATTGCAATACGTATCCGGGGTCCTGCACCTGTTGCTGTATCTGGATCCGAGTTTGAGGATCAGACATATTAAGCTTTACTGGATCAGCAGGATTACTAGGAACCCTTGTAGTCACGGCAGGAATTTGAACTGGTTCTTGATAGATTACAGGCCTTGGGCGTGACAACGGATTTGAAATGCTACCATCACTGCAGAATTATAACAAGTACCAAACACCTAATTAAGTACCAGCTAGGCTAACTTGTATGGCATCGCACACTTGTATATCCAGAATCAAACGATATAGAAAAACAATACCACGAGTATGTAATCAAAATAAGCACTGGGGAAAATCTAAAATTAGAGGAGTTTGAAGATACCTTGAAACCGAATCTGGGGAAGGCAAATCAACAACGCCGGCTGACTTCTGTTGAAATTGAGGAGGCAGATTCTGAGGCTGAGCCTGAGGCTGTGGTTGTAACTGCTGTGCCGTAGGTTTTCTATAACCCACAGGCACTCCGTGGTCTGATCTCTCATCGTCGGAGAAAACCCGATTCTGGTATTCCCCGGCAGAAACAACAGCGGAGCTAATCGGCACAACCATCGGAGTTGTGATGGTCGCCGGCATCGGAGGAGGAGACGACAGAACCACAAACCCTTCATCTTGCCTCTGCCCACCACCTCCACTAATACCCATTTGAGCAAACTGATCCTCAATTCCGACCACCTTCTGATCTTGCATCCTAACACTACTATCATCCACCACATGAACCCGAATCGGCGGAAGATTCGCCAGCGAAGGTGACGAAGAAGTAGACCCAAAAGACGAGGTCGTTTCCAGCATAGGGGAATCAGGCACAGAGTGAACATCCTGTCCTTGCTTCGTCACATTCTTGCCATTCCCGAAAGATCCAGATGGTTGAGCAACTTCATTTTCCCTAGAAACCGAGTCCAGGTTATTCCCACCAGCCTCATCATCGAGACCCAGCAAGCAATTTACCGAATCGGACTCAGAAAATCCTCTATTAAGCACTCCTGTGCCGTTTAGCGCGTTCAGGAACCAGTCATCCGACTTAGCCGAATTATCAAGTAAAGGCCCAATCGATTGCGACGATTCAGGCATCGTCGGGAACAAGAAGAGGCGGATTCTGGAGGGCTTAACCGACGAATTCGAAGCAGTTCGATCATACTCATCGATCATATTATCAAAATCTTCATCAGTAGTGACAGAGATTAAGGAATCGAGGTCTTCACTGGGAAGCTGGTATTTGAAAGTGAAGGGACGGCCATCAAGGAAGGTTTTAGAGAGGCGCGAAGACAAGTCGGAGAGAGAGGTGTTCCGGTCAACGACGACGATACGAGTATCGCCGCCGACATAACACAGAGACTTGTCGTGAGGGCGAGGGACGATGTGACCGCCGTAGCTGCACATGAGGCGGAGCTTGGAGGAGGCAGCGGCAGTAGGGAAAG